ATTTTTTTTAAATAAGTTATAATTTGATACAGCAATAAAAAGATAAATTTTGTTTCTCGATATTATATTTTTTACAGCTAAAATAAATTTATTTACAAAGTATATTGCTTGCAAAGAACTCGAGACAACTTGTCGATGTTGCTTAAGAATTTCACCGAAGTGCAAAGTTCAAGGTTGGAAAGAGTAATGGAAGTGATTTTAGGAATTGATATAAACGAGTTGTATGTTTGGCAGTTGGTTTATCGAGATCTATTACTTCCTTGTTGCTTTGCTAAACCTCGTTTGCCGACGCGAAAAATTTACCGCTTCGACAAGTTGATGTCAATTTGCGTGAATAAGGTGAATTTTATTGCAATCAGAAGTCGACTAATTTACCAAAAATTCTAATTATATTCAATGTATAAGCATTTTATATATTTTTTTACACAGTAATTAATATTACCACACACACAATGAGAGACATTTTTTAGAAATACTACTAAATATTTTTACATATTGTATCTCATTTCGATTTTAATAGTCAGTGTATTCTACACATTATATTAATCAATTTAAAACAGATTTTTAAGAAAAATCGTTGCAATACTTTTCGAAAGGCAGCCCATTTGCATGTTGCTTATTAAGTTCACAATATTTCTGTATCATATTATTATAAATAAAAAAAAGAATCACTTCGCTTTACTTTGATTTTTTCGCTAAATTTTGTTTTTCGCGTAAAACGGTAGTTTCACTGATAAGCGCTGCATGTTGCCAAGAAATTAGTTGTTTTCGTAAGAACGTGCAAAGAAATGCGTATGCTCTTGCCTTAAAAATACCAATATAATTTGTAGAAGAATATAATGTAACAAGAAATATAGCTTCTTTGAGAAGAGGGTGAACAATTTCCAAATAAATGTTGATGCAGACATGAAAAATTTATAATTAGTTTTTGAATAACCGAATTTTTTTTACTTCTTATTTTTTATCCCATTCTTCTATAAATGCGATATCAGTGAATAATGGAATATGACCAAGCAATTTCCGTGCATTTGATTGCCTTTGGATTATTTGATTTTCCACGAAACTATACAATAATACAGAGTCGTTATTTCGAGAAATTATGTATTTATAAATTTATATTCCTTACACGAATAATCTATAAAATATCGATCCTACGAATTGTTCGCTGCAAAATGTCGTGTTTGGAAGCGAGGCTATGACAAATATAAAATTTATTGTTTGCCAGAGGAAGCGAACATAGATAGTCTTGAAAATGTCGGACATGCAAATATTCCTTACAATTATAGCTAGACAGACAAGAATCAATCATTTCGCAAGATCAATAATACTCTCGGGAAACCTTGAACTTTGCATTTCATCGAAGACAAATCTTCGTGTGCGATTATGCGAATTTTTTATACGCGTAGTGTCAGTGAAGTATTTCTTTAAAATAGGTTTTAAAACAAATTCAGTAGATTTTATACGCTATAAATATGAAGAAATTGATTTCACGTCACATTTCAATTCACGTCAGTTATCACGAAAAGATAGAGATATTTTTGTATGTCAATACGCGGTGCCTAAATCTATTGATGTTGTATCGATTTTAAAATAATGCAAATGTTTTTTGCAAAGTTAAATGTTAACAGGTCAAACAGAATACCGAAAAGAGAAAAACGAGAGTGACTTTGAGATTACGTGTGGCGCAGCTGCGTCTTGTCATCTCCCATAGATCGTGTACGTGTCCCGATAACGAAACCTGCCCATAATTACTTTGCTTAACTGGGCATGCTCCTCGCGAAATTACAATTACAAATCGGTGGCAAGCGAAACTGCATCGTACCTTCTCATCAATTATTTATGAGCTAACTGCTATCGTTCCGGCGGTCCTCCTTGCTCTAAATCCACATTTTAGATTTATTCGTGCAAGCTTATGTATTGCACGCACCTTTTTCTCGCGTGTATGTTGAATGTATATCCGTTCGCACGAAACGCGTGTTTGACGCAGAAAAATATGTTTGTAAAAAAATATGTTTCAATCAAAATTCTATTGTTACAATAGGTGCCTCTTACAATGAATGTAGGTATCTTTTCCTTTTATAATTTCTAAACAAATAAGTATCTCTCCTAATGTAGACAATGTCTAGTAAATCTGGAACACTTTTTCTGTAACACTACTTCTTCATCAAGTGTAAAAGTAGTTCAGCAAGCACTTTTTATTCTGCAAAATGTAATAGTTTTTAAAAGACGTTTTTTCACGGTAATAATTACTCGTGCATTGATTGATTAGTCTAACAAAAAAATTAAAAGTATTTATGCTTGTCAGATATTTGTGCAAATGTAATTGTAATAAATTTTTGTTCTTTTTAACCGAGGCGGAACTGTCATTAATGACGTAATGCATTTGTATTCGCACGAAATTTTTTTTCGATTCACACCTTCTTTCAATGCAGAAAGGTCAAGCGTGGGCATCGTGACATGCGTCGTTTACTCGGCTATTTAATCGTTCTTGCTCATTAACAAGAGACGTCTAGAAGCAAATCGTTTGAATCACATTATGTATTGTATAATACATTGCGCGTTAACTTTGTTTTTGTTGATGTTCTCGGATTTCCTTGAGAATTACGCGTATTTGTTTTCTGTTATGTCTTGTAAGAAAATTAGAATAATGTAATATGCAATAGTTTTTATCAATCACAAAAGATTATTGTAAATTTTGTTGTTAGTAAAATTTCAATTTTTTCAAATTTTTGACAAAATTAATTTAATGATTATGATAGATCGAATTTGTTTTGTCAAAGTTGTTATAATTAATAATCGAGACACGTAAAAGCACCAGGAAGGATTATTGAAATTTGAAGCAGATTATCGAAAAATATATTTTAGGAGCGATTTTTAAAATGTTTTTTAAAAATGATTCTTGATACATAAAAATAGTGTCTGAGAAATCTGTCAAATGACGCATCTCTATCTGAAGGAAGTGACATCATAGTATTATGGTTACAAGCCTCAATAGTTTGTCATGGTTGACAAACCAAGCGTCTACATTTTGCTCTCTGCAAGTCTTACGAATACGTTTTTATTTTACATAACATCTTATAATTGTACGCGATTTATTCTTATTGTCCCGCTTTAACTTGGATTTGACTTCTTCCGGAAATTGCGTTAAAAGTTGTATCGTATTGTGCGGTAAATTAAACCAGCTGTTAAAATTCATGCGTTTTCTAATATGTGAACATAATTTTGGTAAAATTTGAACACGTAAAAATAAAAAAAAAATATTATATAAATATTTATCTTATTTGATCCTGTTTAGAAATTACATTCATACGTTTAAATACATTATTATTGACTTTTATCAATTTTTTTATCTTTGTAAGAAGAAAAAAATCATTATTGAAATTAGTCAAATACAATAATTATTGAAACGTAAAAGGCTCTAAACTCTATAAAAATTTGGAAAAAAGTTCGGAAATAAAATCATTCACACGCAAGTCTTCTTTTGTGCGTTAAATTTATCTTCGATGTTACATCCATGTGTTAAAAAAAGAGAGGAGACATACTATATAAGGAGTAGGCGAATGAGATCAGAGTATACTCTTCGAAGTATCAGCTGTTCATCGAATTTGGTTATATCGATACGTGGGAAGATCGTTACGCGTATGTTGCCTGAGCAAGATACCATATATGTGTATGTTCAGTACAGAAACGATACGTGGGCCAAAAGAACATGCGTCAGAGCTGTCTTAACCGATCTATCTTAACCAGAAAATATTGCAAAATTACATAAAAAAAGAACTATAATAAACAATTGCGGCTTACCGTTTATTATATTCTCGTAAAAGAACTTTAATTACAAATGCGTTTTTATTTTACATAACATCTTCTAATGTGCGCGATTTATTTCAGATAATACACACGAGTATTACGATTAATAGTTGTATAATGAAGCGTCTCATGATTCAAAATAAAATTTTATAAGTTACTGAATACATATGTACGATTAGTTAAAAAAAATTATTTTAGTAATTAGTAATTAGTAATATATAATATGTTAATATTATTAATAATTTTCTAGTGTTAAACTTTTAGATATCGAAATTCTTATTTGTTATTGGTTAAACATAAAGAGCAGTTTGTCAATAGTTTTCATCTACAATTTACTTTAATAAATATTATAAATTTTATAAAAACTTTTGATGCTACGAAGCGTATGCACGTGTACGTATATTATATTATTTATACCTACTAATTTGTTTTTCCGATATAAATTTATCTCTTTTAAAGTTGCCATTTGTAAAGACAGTAAAACTGATTATCTTACCTGTAGCATCTCGAGACGCGATGACGCCTGTGGTGCTGTCATATTTTAGTCGTCTCTACAATCACTCGCTGGGAGAATGCTCTTCTAAAAATAATAAAAATTTTTTCATTGATAAAACAATGGATAAATATTTATATTAATTTGGACATATATAGCATTTTATATATAGCTCTTTTGTTATGGACAATGAATATATTCGGCATGGAAAATCGTTTGTGAACATCAGTTAATAGTATTAGTTGCAAGGCAAGTACATCCATAAATGATATGCAGTAATAATTATTGAACAAATATGATTCATTTTATTTCAGCAATTTTTTAGTTGAAACTTAGTACTTGACGATTTTCATACATATGATTTTTATCCGTTGGTTATTTGTGTCAGAATAATTGAAACATTTCTTATTATAATAAGCAATCAAAATCCATATTGATTTTGTGTATAAAATTTCTACGATTATTGTCCTTGATAAGACTTTCTTCTGAAAATTATTGACATAGTAACTGGTTGTGGTAATAATGTTTTTAGGTCAGCAGACATTGTGACTCACACACAACCTATGATGCAATCGTGAAACTTTTATGGTTAAGAACTGAGAGAGGTGTAGTTTTGCTTGCAGACAGCTCTTCACAAATATAAAATATATCTTGTATTGGTGCATTGTAAAAAAAATAGTACTCCATATTTTTAAGTTAAAAAGCTTCAAATTCACTTTATTTAAATAACACTTTTCGAACTTGTTGTAATTAACACTTTGTGCGAAAAAATGGTATCGACAATAAAAAGTGTTGTAACTGCAAAATTGTAATTTTTCATACATATATATTTATTTTTATAATAATCTTATTTAAAAACAAAATTGTAAATTAGTATACATAAATACAAATTTATTTTTTTAATTACATGTTCTTTATGTATGCAATTTTCGATCGGCTTTCGATGAAAGATTGTTGCGATACTTTTAATGATACATTTAGTATATTGATTTGATTGACAAAATCAATAATAAAGCGTATGAAAACTACATTTTGAATTACCTAATTAATTAGGCATTTGTTACATAATGTAACATAAAGAGTGCACGTAATATATTCGTTTATTAAAATTTATTATAATAATTTTGTTTCTCACATATATTACATTAATTATATTTTAATATTAATTAGTTATATTTATTTATATTTCTGCATTTATTATATTTAATATTATTTTTTTATTGATATTGATTTGATATTATTATTTTGATTGATAATATTAATAACATTTATTAAATATTGTTTTAGCATATACATTTATTATAGAAATACAAGCATTATTTTTTTATTAAATGCCAATTTTTAAAACATTGATTAAGAATCATACGTAATTGTTATTTCAGAGTTATATATATTATTGACTGTTTTGGGATATCTTTGATTCACTGATTTAATTACGACATGAAAAAACTTTCTTGACATTATTGGAGACAAAATATAGAAATACATTACAATTATGACATTACACTCATAAATTATTTCTACATTAATTAATATAAAATAATTTAGTTATAAATTTACAATTACAAATATAACTGATTATTCAAAGAAAATATATGTTTAATTAGATTTGGTTTTATGTGCAAAACTCGCTACATACGATTTTGTCGAGTTTAATGGTATATGTGCGAACGAAAACGTTCGGTGACCCAGGTATTTCGACTTTTGCATGTTCTTATTGCATGGATTATTTATAGTTTTACTAAAAACGTACTCTTCACTAGGATTACCATAGACTACTCCTATACATGTGATCACCTCCAAGTACATGGCTCCATTTCTATAATTAAACTATACGCGTGCAGTCATTTACGATATGTTTGCGAAACGACACACTTATGCTGATAAATCGCGTGAACTGATAGAAATAAATGCAAGCAAACAACGCGAATATATATAGTTACACCGCATAAATTGTATTTTTAAATGATGTAAAAGAAATATATTTTTATTTTTTGATAATTTGAGATACTCTGTATGATACCACTTTGCTACTAAAAAATTTGCATGACGATTTTTACAGCAATAGTCAATAGTATTACAGTTAGTAGTATAGTTTATATCATAAAATTCTTCATGTTATGCTTACGCTCATGTATGTACGAATGGTTGGCAAATGCGAGTTGCGTATATGCGTGCACAATTAGGTTCGCGTTCGCACGTGGCACACACGTGCTTAATTTGTAGACAAGGAGAAGTGCCAAGCATTCTTGCAGTGAATGTGTTTGATATATTATACGAAAATAGCATAATAGAGTGTTATGTCTAATGTTTGTGTTAATTGTTCAGCAATTTTATCGAGTGATAGATTCTTTAATAATAAATTTTTCCGGATTTAATTATTTGTAAATACATACGGAATCAACAATGCCTTTCTAAATTTTGAGAATTAAGGCGTGTGCATTGTGATTTTCATACATTATGACTATTAAAAATTTTAAACTTTATTTTATTGATTTTTATTTATTGTATAAACCATTGCTAATATTTTAATTTTATATTTAATTTTTCTGATTTATTTAAATAATAAATAATATTACAAAAATATTCTATATAACTCTCTGAGTTAATTACTTCGTAATTATCGTTATAGTAGTTTTTAATGGCATCTTAAAAAGCTGAAAATATGAAGGAAAGCGTTACTTGTAATGGTTTAACGGGCTGTGCGTAACGATGCAATTAGGTAGCCGCATTCGAAGAACGCGTCTGACTCTCACACATTTGTATTATTTCTCATCTGCAAAATCAAATATAGGGCAGATGCGATTTCTTTCTCGTTTTAAATAATCTAAAGAATATAAAAGAATTCCTGTAAAACAGCACTGAGGATTATTCGCGTTTATTCACAAATATCTTTTAGCTTGCATATTATAACAGAATTTAAGTGCGTAACAATTTATATACAATTTTGTTTATTGAAATAATGCAAATAAAATAAAGAGATAATTTAAATAAAAAAGGACTTTTTGTTTCATTTTGTGTAATATATTATAACAATTGTAAATTAAATTTTTTGTGGCTATAGAAGAGAAATGAAAACGTAATAAAATATATATCGTAGCTACATGTGTCATTTATTTATATTTTTAAATGAAAAATTGGTATCTATTTCCTATTTTAATCATGATGATAAATTTATGAGTAATGTATATAGACATGTGTGTACACTGTGTGTGTGTATAATGCTTTTAAAATTGAAGGGCAAACTTTTAAAACGGTGCTCTGGTATTTTATCGTACATTTAATGAATATTTCCTGAAATTAATATTTAATAATGTATTTCCACATAGTTCATCGACTATAATTTTAGGAAGAACGAAATAATGATATTGTTAGTTATGCGTTAATTATTCTGGAAATTATATCTAGTAAGAAGTAAATGTCTATATTTGGACTAATTGCAGGCATGAGAACGCTATAATTTATACAAAGTTTGATTAATATTTCTTTAAAATAAAAGAAGATTTTAACGATTTGCGATAGGTGGTTAATTAAACAGTTTCTTGCAAAATTATATCTTAGAAAAAATATAATATTTTAGATACTTCATACACTTGTTGATATACGAATTACATTTATAAAAAGATATCTTTCTGAGTGTCTCGACTATAGATATTTCAATTTAAAAAAAAAAAGAATCTATTTTAAATTAGTCAAAAAATTCTAGTAAAAGGTGCATTTGATACATCCTACATAAGTATAAAAAAGAACTTAAATTTTTCCTTATATAATTTTATAAGTTTTTTACGTATGTTAAAATATAACTTATAACACTTTCTCACCGAATAGTTTACACTTTATTTGTATCCGTTACATTATTAAGGTTGCATGACAAAATATAAAAATCTATTTGTTAGCACGGCACTCGACGTGAGTGGATAATATATACGAGCAACCGCACCGGTATGGTACGACGCGGCGCGGCAGCCAAGCGTGCAAGAGAGTGCACTCACCGTGGTAAAGGGAAGGAATTCTCAGCGAAAGATAATTGCAGATGATCCGTGGTCTGTCCTTACGCGAAGAAAACCGATGCAGTACTGACGGTACCACCGTCCCTGTCTGATTCATCCTGCAACTCCCTCTCCGTCCTTCTCCCACCTAGTCAAAGAGTAAGAGGACGATGAAGAGTAAATGAGAAGGGTTCATGAACCCGAGAAGGAACGTTGGAAGGAGGAAGTGCCAGATAAACGCAGTATCCTGCTAGTAGAAATATGATGACCTTCGGGCAGGTCGGATTGTACGGTTTCTTCACTAGGTAGTTGTCTTTGTAAGACTTTTGAAGATGTAATAAAGTTTCTTCATAAAAAGTGATTTATCGTTATGACGGATCATTTAAAGATGATAGACTAGTTAAGTCATGCTTGATAAATTGAAACTTTTGAAAAATATCTTACAAAGTATTTCGCCGATAAGCCTAATCGGCAAAGAAGTAATAGAGAATGCTAGGTAGAATAGCCATTATACAAACTTCTTTTGTGCTGATTGCAATTGGTAGATACATTGAGCTTAAAATATTTTATCCATAAAAAAATTAAATTTAATTGCGTTGCATAATCAGCATACTTGCATTTACTAGTGTTCAGAATTACGTAATCGATTTTATTCAACTTATAGACCAGAAACGCAATTCGCATTTTTACGAGCGAATTATTATCGAGTGCGTCTGATCGCTTATGATAATGACGTTTCAATATTCAAGAGATGAATAAGCGGCCGAGTCATCGAGAGCAGCGTCTAATTCTAAGTCCTCCTCCGTACATCTACCTTCATTGTGCCTGGAGGCCAATATCGAGGAAAATAATAATATTGCTTTTTCCCCTAACTGTATCACCTAAACGCATTAAGGAGCGCGAGTCTAAAGTTATTTGCACTTGTTTATTTAATATTATATTATAAAAACATGGATGCTACAGAGTTACGCTTTAGAGAATAAAATACTATCTCAAAATCATAAATGCAGATCGATGTATTATACAACACACATTGATTAAATTGTATATTTTCGGTCAAAAGAGAATAAAAATTTCTACTAACGCAGATGTTAAAAGAAGAAGACCATTTCATGATTACAATATTTTTGCTTTCGAGATCGCTTGCCTGTTTTTAGTTCAAATACGCTTTGTGAACTTCTTCGCAAAGTAAACCTCTCGAATCTAGAGAGATAGGAGACAAAGCCGCGATAAAGTTTTCCAGAAAAAAGCGTAATTTAACTTCTTCGTGGCAAATGCATGAATTGTCGACAGAGTGTAAGAGCTTTGCGTATTTGTTTTAAAAGGAACATGCAAACTAAATTTTGCAAACAACTCCACTCCACGTAGTTTTTAATATGTTAATTTATTAATTATGTACTTTGTGAATTTTAATGATGCATTGTACGTACCAAACGGAAATTATACGAAATGAATCATGATTATTTTCATCAGTTTTTTTGTTTATGTCATGAATATTACATTGATTATCTTTCGTGGGTGTTAATAGAGGTACATTATGTGACTCATTTCGTTCTGTGCTCACCATGTTACATAAATCTTACATTATCTATCTTTTTAGATGCGTCAGATTCATCCTTTCTGTTCCGGCTTGTGCGATACAATTACACTATTAAAATACTATAAATAAGTAAATATAAAATAAAAATGTAAAATTGAAAATGTTGAAAACTGTAAAATTTATAATTGGGGTGATAAAAAATGGATATAGAAAAAAGGTAATCTATATAAAAAATGCAGAATAAATTTTTTAAATGTATTAAAAGAAAATAATAATAATAAATATATATTATTGGTTAAAATTGGTACTTGACTTCTATAACAATTTAATTTATAGCATATACAGAGAGAGAGAGTAAATCAATTTGGCAAGAGTCTTTTATTAGCTCCTGTATTCCAATTGATTTGATACCTCCGAATTACTCGTTCGATGTAACAATAATGGCTTGTGAATGACCCACTTTCGACGATTCTGACCGCGGTTATCGACAAAGGTTCCAGGACTCCGTGCTCCAACTTGGTTTCGAGGTCGAGATCGAATAACGGACGACGTGACTGCCATGATTGCTTCCTTGCGAGATGAAAACTGGAGAAATAGGGATAAGCGTGTGTCGCTCGTGCGAATGAAATTTGTAGAAGTGTAAAGGAATTCAAATCGCGCCTTTGTCGTCGATATGATATAGCTCGAAATGCCTATTGCGAAACGATTTTCGATCGTGCTAGTTTTTCGAGAGTGTAAAACGTGACTTGATGTTCGTCTTCAGAATAATCTTTCGCTAGTATTCCGCAGCAAATAAATCCAAGCCATTTTGAACTTCTGCAATTTCTATTTCATAAAAGTTGTCTTTTTTAAAGCACAGACAAATATTGCAAATTTATATTCGATGTCGATCCAATATTGATTTAATCTCATATTTTAGATAACAATTCAAACACGTTAATATTATATTATTGATCCGTATTGTCTTTTTCCAACTATAACTAATTATGAATCTCTAGAAATAACTTATTTTTTATATTATATTATTTTATTTTTTTGTAAATATAATATGTAAATGCAAAATAATGTGAAGCATCACCCGTCACCATTGCGTGTGCCGCGAATCAATATGATAGTAAGGCAATTACGATTGCTTGCACTTCTTCACGTTTCTTCGTCATGAGTTTAGATGGCGACAGTTTGATGATTTCTGATTTAACAGTATAGTTTTGCACTATTTTGAATAATATAATACCTTTTTATTTTTACTATTGATAAAAATTGTAAATATTTTTTCTATAACTATTATTTTTATTTTAATATTCGTTAACATTTAACTCAAAACTTAATGAATTAACAGCTCGTATCACATTTGTAAAATAATGTTCTCCAAATTTGTTGAAATAAGTGATATTTATTAAAGTACTTAAAATTATTTTATATTTTGATAACTTTTTTTGAAAAAGATCGAAGTGATGATGACTATCCCGAGAAACAAATTGTGTTTGAGAGATTTAGGTCAACACGCGAGAATGAACGTAGTACATTCGGTTGCACTTTTATCCGATTCTAATGTTGTCACGACGACATTGTACGTGATCATAGAAACAGATGGGGAATTACAGTTTCCATTACCTCTCGGCTCAACGGTAGATAGAAATTAACAAGCTGCTGCATGGATATAAACGTAAGTTAACCAATTATACGGCCGTGACCGATCGCATTCTAAAGATTCATTGAAAACGGCTTCAAGCACGTTTTCCATTTTTTCGCAATACTTTCCGAAAGCTCTCAATAAAGAAAATATTCGCGCACGATGTGTTAGCCATAAAGTTATTACAAAACTCAATTGTTTACTTATTTATCACAATATTAAAAATTCTTGTTTGAACGGTTTATCTATTTTATGTATCCAGTAAAAATATCACAGTCAATTTACCTTTAAAAGAATTTTCTGGATAAATAATGTTAACTGTGAGAAAAATGATACAGTTTGTTGATGCTAAATTTATCAATTTACAAAATTCAGTGTTTCAGAAATTGTTTTATAATTTAGAAACATAGATCTCTGTTTTTAAATAAAATTACAGGAAATTTTTAGGACAAAGATATTTTTGTAAGCATTGTATCAGAACTTATAAACTGACTTTTTTTCCACGTATAACATTTAATCTCAATTTTTAAATTTAAATTATTACATCTATTATTTGGACAAGAAGTAGGTATATTGGGCTATGTATTTTGATTAAGATTTTGCAGAGATTAAGATGCTTTCCAAAGTTTCGCTACGCGCGGAATTCAGGAACTTTGTGCGAGAAAATAGTGCATTTATTTCGGTTTCTGTTGTAAATTCCGTGCTTCTCTGCGCCACTCTTTATTTCACGACAATCATTTTATTTCGCCATTTCGCTATTTCTCTCTCTCTCTCACACATCTCTCTCTCTCTCTCTCTCTCTCTCTCTCTCTCTCTCTTCAATCTTGCTGATTTTCGTTCTTTCAACCGCGATTCTTTTCTCTTCCATTTCAATTTGCACTGAATTTTAACAATAGTCTCTTTCTCTTCGTTTATTCTTCTGTTTACGTCATTTTAAGTTTGTATTCGAGAGCTCGAGCTGTCTTAATCAAATTTTGTTCAGGCAAAGGTGAAGCGAGGCAAAATAATTAACGCAAATGCGGGATTTTCTCAAAATAATCTCTCTAATTATCCGGTGTTCTTTTCGAGTTTGCATTTATTGTAGTGCCCTACTTTCAGTAAATGCTTATTACTTCTCGATCTCCTTTTCTTACTATATAAAGTATTTGATAACGTCTGCCCAACCGCTCGTGTACAGATAGAGCGCGGTAAACTGAACAGAAAAGTCAGTTTTGCAATTTTTTCAATAATAAATGAGATATTAATTAAAAATAATTGACCAACGATCGGGTTTTTAATTAAATATCTCATTTATTATTGCAAAAATTGCAAAACAGTGAAAGATTTTTCTGGTCAGTTTACTGCGCTCTATCTATATACGAGCGGTTGGGCAGATATTATCAAACGCCCTGTATATACACAAAATAATAAATCTACGAATGAAGTCTTGCACTAATTATAAGCCCTGATAGAATTTGCATAAAGATAGATTTATTGATTTTAAGACGCTTTGAGCATTTAATATAATCTATTTTTTGCTTTAATGCAATTGTAATTACATGTATATTTTAATATACACGCTACTCCATAAAAAATAAAGAACACTTTTTAGACGCACAAAATTGAACAATTTTCGCTGAAACTCGGCGAAACTTCGTGAAACTTCATGTTCGGAAGAAACTTCTCAACTAATTGTAATTAAATTTCACTGACATTCAATTGTTGTTGCATGTTACATTATCTAAATGCTCATCTCTTTCGCGACTTCAATGGATTTTTTAAAATGCCATTAAGAGACAGATATCGGTAATAACGTTTATAACAAATTCCACATTTATCGTGCATATCTATTTATCGCCCCAATGCTTCTAAATAC